GAGGTAAACAAAATAAGAGACAAAAGGCAGGCATGTCATGGCTAGCTAGCTCTGAGCTCTGAGAGCTCTCCAACCGAAAAAATGAAAAGCTAATCAACCAGAGGTGAGCTGATGATCACTTAATTAAAGATCATGGGAATTAATTATCAGTATTGAGAAGAAGATCTTCATCTGCATGCAGCTTTTCTTCTAGTGAGTAGTTTTTTGCCAACGGCAACGACGATCCATGACAGAGAGAGAAAAAAAAAACAGTATCTCCGATCAACCAAAGATCGAGAATCTTCAAAAGATTATAACCCACTTGCGAATTTAAACGAAAACAAAGTAGTGATGTGCATATATATATATATATATTAATGGTATAAATAAATAAATAATTTTTTTTTTAAAAGCTTGAAAAGATGATAAAGCAAAGAAACGTAACAGTAACTGGGGACTCACCCGGTAAAATTTTGAGGAAAACGGAGAGGATTTACAAGTAGAGAGAAGGGGGAAGCAAGCGGACAGAAGGAAGTTCCCAAGAGATTCCCGCTAGGCGCATGGCATCATACTATGAAATTGAGGACTGTCCTGTCCTTTTCCTCTTTATTTAGAGCCTCTTCGCATTTCAAATTTAGAAAATTTTGCTCAACATTTCTTGGTAAATTTGCGTAGGTTGGCCTAAATTTGCCTAAATACGTGTATTTTCCAAAAGATTCAAGCACATTTAATCTACAATACATGAACTTGGTTGTATTTGGAAAAATTTCAGACCAAAAAAATTCAGTTGTATTTGGATAAAATTTCTCCAAAAGATTTATTGTACCTGGTCATTTTAGATTCACCTAATTATAAGTACATAGGTATCTAGTCTGGATTTTCTTTTTCATACTATGGTAAGAAAATATTTTCATAACCATTCTAGATACATGAATTCTCCCCAGATTTAATACTTGGTAAAATTATTTTCCTTATAGAGCGAGTCCGATATATGGTGAAAACAAGTTTTAAATCCATAAATACGTGTATAATTAAAAAAATTGATTGAGTGATCACACGATAAATAATTGAAATTGACACTCTCAAAGATCGAATTTCTCAACCAATTAACTCTTAGTCTAGTGGTACTTCTCTTTTTAATGTTGGAAGAGGTCCCCGACTTTCGATCCCCTTACCGCATGAATTAAAAAAAAAGATTACATATAGGTATATATAAAAGACCCTCTTGCTTGCGCACTCATGCACCCTCGCATGAGCGCAAATAAACAGCGTTATGTTTTTTATTTATGTGTATTTATAAAAGACTATATTTCTGTGTAAGTCACGCTAAGTGTGTTTGACTACTTGGGACATCATAATGGTTCGAAAGTTTCTTTTGGGGTGGCTTTGGGTTCAGAGGAGAGAATTTCGGTTGAGAATGTTTTTTTATGTGGCTTTGAAATTTGCTGGACCAAAATCGAGCTGTAAGCAGGATGTTCTTTTTAGCTTGTACTTGTCATGTTCTCGACACCATATGGAAGCAAAGAGTAAGGCCCCTGGGCCCTCCGGGGCCGAGTAAAATCATCACCAACTTCAGACAAGTTATGCTCCAAGAGGAAATAAATCCTTCTATATATATAGCAACCTTGTAAGTTGTATCTATTCTTGGTAGTTTCTTCTCCATTCAACATTTGTTTATCTGTTTATGTTGTAGTAGTGGGTAAGTGCTACATGTTTGTTTTATTTAGAAAAAGTACGAGAAGGGGATCAAACTATAGTGCAAAGAAACAAACACACTGATTGATTAGATTAACTGACCTAACTCACATCTCCAGCAGCATAACAAAAATGATCCAATTACAATTTACATTCATTACGTAAATTAATGCATGTGTGTCAATCATTATATATATGACTAAAACAAATTATATACGATGTCTAATTAATCAGAAGAGAGAAAAAAACAACATTATTTATCATTGACTTAAAGACTTTTGTCAAATGAGAACTGAAAGATATTGGTATCATTGAGCTCTAACCTCGGAAGATGCTTTCCTTCCCTAGTTTAATCTTCTGGAAAACAACCACAAACAACAAAATAAGTTTAAGTTAAACTCATGGATTAAGTATATTAAATACTATTGTTAAGTGATGCAGCTTTCATTTTTTTGTCAACTTAGCATTAGGGTATTTTTTTTATAAAAAAAAAGTGAAATTCAGATTTGATTCGAATTGCCTCTTAGGCCATCACCTTCCAAAGTATTCACAATATGCCTTGTTGTCGTCCAGCGCTTTTCTGGTTTTGTTGTTTTCGTCAGGAGGTGGTGGTGGTGCCTTAGAAAGGAACCCTAATTAACAAATCATTTCATGCTAATTGCGATTAAAAAAATATAAATCCCACACATATGATTCAGAAAGGTGTTAAGGTTGATGTTGTACTTTCTTCTTTCAGTAACCTTGTCAATAAAATAATGTCAAACAATGTTGATGGTTCGTAATATTTTAATAGATATGGAATCTTTTAACATGGAGTGAGAACTAAACAAGTGCAAGTTATAGTTAATTGGGTCACTCTTTGCCTAATCCAATTGTCTAATTACCCCCCTCTCCTCTCCACATCAACCAAGAGGTATAGAAATTATGCATCACTTTTTTTTTTTATTGTTACAAGTTGATGTTTTGTTGCATCAATCTAATTAAAATATGCATTATTGTTTTCATTATTTTTTGGATGAGCATAACTAAAGACTGTTACTACCACTTCCCACAAACGACAAGCCGGCTATAGATAATGTGTGTTTTCACATTGTTCTCTCTTTATTTTTATTTTTTATCTACAGAACTGTTATTTGACATTTTAAAAAGGGTTTTTTACTGTAGACGTCCTTAAATTTGACCCCCAATTGCAATTGGATCTATTAACTTTTTTTGTGCCAATTAGGTCATCCAACTCTCTCATTGATTCCAATTGAGTCTGAGGGCTAAAACCGTCCATCTTAATTAAAATATTTTAAAAAGAAAAAAAGTGAAAAAAGTGAAATAAAATAATTAAACAATATTAAAATAAATAAAAAAATAAGAATCCAAATCCCTCTCTCTCTCTCTCTCTCTCTCTCACTCAGCTCTCCCTCTATGCCTCTCCCTATCTCCCGTAACCCATTTCCCCTCCTCATTATCCCACCCACTCAGGGCATGTTTATGTATCAGTAATGGGTATAGGAGGAAATGGAATGATTTCCATTCCTGACTTCCCATGCGTTTACTTATAATCATGAATGAAAAAATAAGTAGGCCCCACCTCAAAATCCGTAATCACATTCCCTCAGAACTAGGTATCAATTCAATTAGGGGGAGTAGTCGATACGATTCTCATTCCTGTTTTCCCTTAATAACTTCTAAAAGTACCCTTACCACTTTACCATAATTCTAAAATTAATTTGGATCTTGATTCATGCAAATTAGTAAACAATAACAATGGGAATCAATCTCATTCTTTTGCTAATTCCATATGTTTATTAAACAGTTTAATGAGAATGATTCTTCCCATACCGATTCAGTAGTTCTCCGATTCCTAAATTCTCTGATTCCTTACTTTCTTTATTACTGATACGTAAACATGCCCTCAAAACCTATATCCCAACCCAACCCCCTTAAAACTAATGAGAGAAAGCCAAAGAACGTACTCTACCCTGCCCTCCACAGTCCTGACGTTAAGATAGATTGAAGTTGTCTACTTGGGATTTTGGGTTTTGTACATTATGTGAAATAGAGCGTTGTGTTTTGTGTCTTCTTCTTAACTAGACAAGCATCTCCTTGAGGTACCCAAACTAAGGTTTTTGGCAAAGAAGTTTTTGCATGTTGGGTTGGGATCTGGGTTTTGAAGGAGGAAGGGGACTAGGTTGCAGGAGAGAGAGGGAGAGACATAGAGGGAGACTGATGAACACAAATGAAAGCAAAAGAAAAGGTGAAAACCACAAGAAAAGGCCAAGAGATTGTGGAATTGAGAAGTTTCCTTGAAGAAGAGAATTGTTGGGTAGGGTAAGTTTCTCTCTCACTGTTTTTTTTTGTTTTTTTTGTTTTTTTTGTTTTTTTTGTCTTTCTGAAATTCCAGAACATTGGAATTTTCTGCACAAAGTCTCTTCTAACAAATGGCTTTCCAAAATAGTCAGATTCTTGAGGTGTTGTTGTTGAATTGATGATGGAAGAACAAGGTGGCTTTCCAAAATAGTCAAATTCTTGAGGTGGTTGGGTCGATGATGGAAGAACAAGGTGGAGTTGGGGTCAATGCTAGATAAAGAACCCGAAATGACGTTTTTACCCCCTCATTTTGACAGACAAAATGACATAGTTGAATGGTAGGACCTAATTGGAACTATTTGTCCAGTTAAAGGATGTAATTGGCACCAAAAAAAAATTCATGGACCCAATTGCAATTAGGGGCCAAGTTCAACAATGTCTACAGTAGATAACTCTTTTAAAAAAGTTATCTTGCACGTTCTACTCTCGTTGTATCCAATAAATCTTTAGATTGAATTTTCAGTCCATCATGTTTCTTAAGAGAGTCCCAAAAGACAACAAAGGCCTTACCCTCCTCAATTTATTAAGTCTTCGCGTTGTCAACACTCAACAGTCAATGAGATAATGAAATAATGTGTATCAAGATTCAAGAACATGTTTAACGTTATAAAAACAATTAAAATAAAAGGATAAATTTAGTTGGGTTTGGGTTTGGGCTTGGCCTGGATCGGGTCCTTTTATGCATGGACTGGGAAATGGGCTAAAACTCAAATAAAAAAAGGTATTAGGCTTTTTTTTATTTTTGGACTCAAAATTATTAGGCTTCCCAAACAACTTATTGGGTTATGAAAGTAACCAACCACTTGGCCTTTTTCTTCTTTAAAACTAATAATAAATCAAAGTCCAAGTCCTCAAGCCCAGACATAATGTCACGTGCTGATCACGTGACAACCTCACTTTTTTTTTTTTGGTCAAGTATTAAACGCGACAACCTCAATGATCATATATAAAGTAATACTCCTTAAATAGAAACAAAGAAGCAGAAGAAAATGGTGTCCTTCCGCTTCCCCTTCTCGTTTCCTCAGCCCCCAAAGCACACTCCTCCCACCTACTCCTCCTCCTCCTCTGCCACGTCGCGTCCCTTCTCTGCCACCACCGCCGCCGTAGCCGTTGCCGCTGGTGCCGCAGCAGTCGCCGGAGTGGCTGCTGCCACCCACAACTCCACAAACCAAGCACACCCATTTCTCCAAAACGCACTGAATCTCTTCTTTGCCAATCGCTCTCTGCCACTTTTGGGTTCGCTCTCTCTAAACTACACTTCGAGCTCCGTCGTTGATTCCAAGACTGGAGCCTCGTTTCCTTCGGTTCTGGATGACTCTCGCCGACTTCTTGGAATTGGGTTGCGGAGAAAACGAGTGTTCGGCTTAAAGAACATCGATGTCTATGCATTTGGTATCACATTTCCTTTTTGTTGGCTTTGGAAATTTCATTGCTTTTTGTTGTTGATTTTAAGAAATTTTAATTGGTAAGCACACATTGTTAGCTCAGTGTAGAAAGTAGTAAAAATTTTGCTAGCTCGTTATTGTGCATGTGTATGTATAATGTATGTATATATAGGATTTCAGCTTGTGCTAACCATGTGCATAATAGAAGACGAGATAGCAGTAGCGTTGGATTGATTAAGTTATGCAATGGTTGGGTGTGTTTTTATAGATGAATCGAAATTTTTGAATGCTGCAATGTGGTTGAAGTGTTGTTGCTGGTGATAGATGATTAATGGTGTATTTGAAAATCAGAACATGCTAAGGATATTGAAGCTCTGTGAAAGTTAAACATGACTAAATATCGGATAACTTTTACTTGTAAAAGATTAGGGGGCAATACTTTGGGGAAGAAAGTTATGGAGATGATTGTGACAATAAGAGTGGGGTATTTTAAATCCAGTGCATATTTCATGTTGATGATAAGTTTATTAAAAACAGGGGAATTAAGAATTTGGTAATTATATATGGTTTTTTTTTTTTTTTTCTGCTGACATCTTGCTTCCTTGCATTATGACATGGTACAGTGGTTCTAGTGGCTCTGAGAAATAATATCATCCCTAATTCAGTACATTTTCTCAAAATGGTGTCATTGAAAGTGTCGATGTCAGTAGTTAGGGTAAAAACCTATCCGTGATTTCTTTCACATGGTTTGATTCCTCAAATACAGACACAGAATAATGCTTGCTTGCTCATTCTGGCTATTTTTCAAGGTCCTTTTGGCGCAGTCGCAGTCCTTTAAGCCTGCATTGTCCATGTGCATAGCCTTTGGGATACATTTCATTGAAATATAGTTGTGTGTATGTGCAGGTATTTATGCTGATGACAAGGACATAAAAGAATTGCTTAGCGAGAAATATGGGAAATTGTCCGTTTCGGAACTTCAGGACAACAATGAGTATAGTGATGATTTGCTGGAAACTGATATAGGCATGACCGTTAGACTACAAATAGTTTATGGCAGATTGAGCATTAGTTCCGTGCGTAGTGCTTTTGAGGAGTCTGTTGGAAGCAGACTTAGGAAGTTTGGAGGATCAGATAATCAAGAATTGCTCCAAACGTAAATTATTTTTTATAATCAACACTGAAATAACCTTGTGACTTGCATCTTTTTCTTTTCAGCTTGCAGTAATATGTCTCATCTCCACTAAGATTTTTTTTCCCTGTTCTCTGTTTATAAGCCTTGGTTTACAAAAAGCCACACCTTGTAGTACGATTTTGTCATCCTAATAGCTCAATTAATTGTAGGTTCACTTCCCAATTCAAAGACGAATACAAAATACCAAAGGGATCTGTAATAGATCTCTCAAGGGAACGGGGCTATGTACTTCGAACAACAAGTAAGATTTTTCTCTTCACTCGTGTTCCAATTTCTTCGAAGTATATCACAACATACATATCCATTTTCATCCATTCATTATAATTATTTGCAGGAAGTGTTTGTTCTCAGTAGGTTACAGCCAATGAAATAAACTGAAGATATTTTTAGCAGGATTTGTTCATTTTATTTTGTAGATTCTGGGATTACTTTTAATTTGAACTTATGCTAAATTGCTGCAGTTGATGGAAAGGAGGTGGGAAGCATAGAGAGTAAACTCCTGTGTAAGTCGCTTCTGGATTTATATATAGGCGAGGAACCATTTGATGAACAAGCGAAAGAAGATGTGAAGCTCAATTTGGCCTCTCTCCTTCACAAGTAGATGGGAGAGAGAGACAATCAAAGAGTCAGATATTTTTTCTTCTTCTCCTTTTTCATGTATAATCATATTTAATCAAATAGATCAGGAATAAAATTTGATTTTATTAAAGTAGATAATCTTTATTTCTTCTCTTAATCATAGTTTATGTGAATCGACATCTAGTTTTTTTTATGTGTAAAGTAAACCACGTATAGCTGGATTATCTTTGATTTTTTATTTCCAATCAACCATCCCAGAAGTTCGTGCGTTCAAGGCTCAACAACTCACTTTTGAAAATTTTAATAAAGGCAATGAGAATTGGATTAAGTATTTTAATCCTTTAATTAGAGCTAGTAAATTTGGTTTCTTCTTAAAATGCAGGTCCATTCAAACATGCACACGAAATGGTATATAAAAAAGAATACGAGAAAGCCAATCAGACCCAATAGCGTCCACCTCCAATAAACTTTTTAGTTGTGTCTTTCTTTAAGCTTCTTTGATTTCTTTTTCTGACCTCAATCTCTTCCATGGTCCCTACTCCATCCAAAAACAAAAGAGAAAATTGCAGATTCATTTGTACAGAAAAAAATTTCAGTCCATTGCTTCATAGTCAGAAAAAATATAATATCATATTTACACATCACCATGAGATTAGACCAATCAAATCTAAATTAGGCCCCATGAATATGAAGAAGCTTTTAGCATCCCCCACACCAACCCATACTTCCATCATCAAAATTGTAGACCTAATCTTAGGACCCTCTTCAACATGCAGGTCACTTTAACAGCAGGGTACACGGTGGTGGTAGCCAACTCCACATGTGCGCTTTAATCTTAGGACCAGCCCTGCACTTTTTTAGAACACTGACTTGCATTGAACTTTATCCTCCACCAACTTGGCTTTTCACTTCATTGTACCCCTTTTCATCACCTCTCTACAAGCTCCCAAATTGTCAAGTCCCCTTTTGAACAAGTTTTTTTGGCTTCTAGATAGCACGCCAGACCACCCCTTTAGGATCAGAATTTTATTAGCAACTGTGATGCTTATGGAGCTAATAGTTATCAGGTCACGGCACTGTTGTTGCAAATATTGTTCTAGTACTTGAGTTCAGAAATGTGGCTGGGACATGTGCTCAAGATTGAGGGCAAGTTCCTACCACAAGCAGGAGAGGACATCTGGCCATTACCACTAGGCGAAGAATTCTCAGTTTGATGCGACTGTAATGTAGACATTGATGAAGAAGCAACCAAACTAGAGGAAGACTGGTTCTTGTTAGTTAGTATCTGTTGCCTTTGTGGTGGTAAGGATGATTTGTGGTTTCCCCCGAAAGATATTTGAGTCTGACCTTGTGAAGATCTTCCTTGTTGTTGGGGAAAACTCACGACAGTTGAGAACTGAGGAGCTTGGGCAGAACTGTTGCATTGTACTAAAGCTTGTGAGAAAGCATGGGAGTTCTTCGGGAACTTGGCAGCAATAGCAGGTTGCTGCTGTTGTAACGTATGTGGCTTCTGAAGCTGAAACTGGAACATGTGTTGTTGTTGAGAATTTGATGATGTTTTACTATCAACAGGAGAATTTGTTGCTGTGGTAGTCAAGGCGATGGACCGAGGAGGCCAGCTTCCAGTGACAGGGGATGACATGAAGTTAAGAGTTCTTGCTGAATTGTCAAAAACAAGGGTCTGCCTTTGCCCAATACTTGAGGAAGACTTCCCAGAAGCAGCTTTTAACCCATCATCAGCAATGTTGGAACCACCTCCAGTCTTCCTTTCGGATATTTGATGATTCTTTTTCTGCACCGCTTGAGGTGCCGGTCCTACTTTGTATCCTTGCTGAGCCATGTCTGGGAGGCTTTGAAATATCGCTGGATTTTGTGCCATGGTTGAAAAGTTCAAGCATGAACCTGTACTGTTATTTCCACTGAAGGAGGCAAATGAGATGCCATGCTGTGATTCCTCAATGTGATTTCCACTGCCACCCCCACCACCACCCAATGTTACATAAGGCATCAAGGTAAAGTTCAGGGGTTGAAATGGAACTGCAAAGTTCTGCCCATATACACTCTTTTGGGCATGAGAGGCAGCAAGAGATGCAGTATTATCCCCATTCATCTCACCCTCAAGCTTGCAAGATTGAAGGGACGGCAGCACATACTGCTTTTGTGACTGTTGTGATTGCACGCTAGTTGAGGTCAAAAAATTGTTGCTATTAAATTGTGCTTCCCTCAGTTTCTGAGACTCCTGTTGCTTGTGGGATGGTGTTGAATCACTTGAAGTGTTTGCATTCTGATGCTGCAACTGCGAGTGAGGCTGTTGCTGTTGAACCTGTGATGGGTGGAACATCTGATTTGAATAGAAGGGCCCATTAAACAAAGGCACCGGTTGAGCAGGGTTTCCTCCTCTAAAGGCTGGTGTTGTTCCTATATGAGTTGAAATAGGAAATGGATACCCATTGAGTGCCAAGTATGGACCTTCCTTGGCTGCCATATTCGGATTAATAAAGTTCACTGCAGCTACCGTTGGCAACGGTGAAGAACTCATCGGAGTTATAGCAGCTGAGTGGCTTGGAAGTGATGCATTGTTTGTTGATTTGGCATGTTTCAAAGGGCCAGATTGATTACTATTTGATGTCCCTGACGCTTGATGTTGGCCCAGAGGGAAAGTGATAGTATGTCCATGCTGCAATCAAAATGAGTATAGATAAACTTTTAAAACCATACTCAAAGAAACTGATTAAAATGCAGCTAGAAGACATTCCTCTCGACCAAATAGTGTAATGCAGATGATGAAGACATACCATTTCATTTCCATCAGAGGCTGGAGCTTGCTGAACTGCAAGATGCTTTCTCTTTAAGGTTTCTGTGAAATTGGCAGCCTCAGAGATTTTACCGTTTCCACTATGACCTTGAAAGTTTGACATGCCCTGCTCGTGTTCCTGTGATTGCTGAAGATTCAAACCTGGTAAGCTTCCAAGCATTGGGTTTCCAATGACTATGTTTTCTGCAGGCAATATGACTTTGAAGATGTCTGGCTTGGTGCCACGAAGAGGAGCAGAACCAGTTTCTGCTGGCCAGAAATTGTTCGTCTTCGTAACCTTCTGATGCAAGAAAATGTTTTGAGCAATGTAATGGTGGGTTGCACATCTCTTTCGCCGTGGCTGAGACAGGAGGGAATTTGCAGGCTGCATTTTACACAACAGAAAATTCAAAACTTAAACTATTTTGATAAATATAAAAAAACGAAAAAATAGAAACCTGAAGTGTGGTGGATGATCCCATGGCCAAGGGCACTGAGCTAGAATGAGCTGAAAAAATAGAGATCATCAATAAATTAAGTGTCCACCTTTAAAGCAATCAGACAGATTCATTCAGCTGGATAAACAAGACCAAATTTAGGCGTTGAATTACCAATTTTCTCCAGTTTCGGATTCAGAACGACATCTTCAGGCTGCTGTTTTTTACCTTGATGTCGTAATTTACTGTCACTATCTTGATTTGGGTTTTCATTAAATTTTTCCTTACTTGTCTCCATCTTCTTCTCATCTACTTTCTCAACCACAGCTTCCTCAACATATTTTTCCACTTTTTCTTCATTCTTAACCAAAATTTCCATCTTCTGCATCAAAACAACATAGAGTCACAGTATGAAAGCAGAACCAAGAGCATTGTAAAGAACTGACGGATTGAGTCTGCTTACCATTTCTACATCTTGAGGCAGAGGTTTAGGATCAGATGCAAAATCAGACAAGTCCTCCTTCTCCATGGGAGGAGGAGCCTGTTCAAAAAAGGCAGGCAAAACTCTTCAGCAAATTAGAAAAAATTCTACCAATGTAAATATAAGCAGAAGAAAAGAACAAACAAGAAGCCTCACCATCAAATCAAATTTGAACATGTCCTCTCTCTTGCTCCCAAGCTTCGACCCAGTTGAAATGCTGACCAATTTCAACCATCAAAACAAACAAAATTAATCAGATATCGTTTTTTTTTTTGGGCTGCATCATTAATTGGATATTTCTCAGTGACAATCAATCAAAATAAAAAAGAGACAAAGAAAAGATTCTTTGATGCTCACGCTTTTGTCCCTGTCAAATCCTCCCAAGACAATTCAACTTTTGGGAGGATGCTTTTTCCCTCTTCCATGAATGGTTTGGCATCTTCCTTCTGCGACTCTATGGACCCAGATGCTCCTTCATCACGACCCGTATGGTGAACCGGGTTGCACAGTTCCCCGTTTGATTTCGGCGAACAAGTTTCAATCTTTTCCGGTTGGTCACTTTTTTCAAAGACACCAGCTTCAGAAACTGAACTGTCCTGAACCGCCATTAAACCACTCTCAGCCTCCACTTTCTTGTCCTTGAGCTCTGCAACTGCGAACCAGAGAAAATGGAAAAATCATTAGAATCATCGCTGAAACGAGAAAGTGAAGACAGGGACGTAACCCAAGTCTTGAAATCGTCGGTAGTACCATTTCTATCTTTAGCTTCGAGATTCAAAGTAGAGTTTTTGATATTATCCTGGTCCTTGGAGCTCTTGGATTGCTTCATCAGCCCGAGAACCTCAGCGATCTCAATCTCAATATCCTCTTCGACAGGCTCAGAAGATTTAGTCGACTTCGGAGGCCGAATCTTGGGTCCATTTGGCTTCTGCACAAAATCAATTTACAAGCTCAAAATCTCAAACTTTTCCCTTAACTTCATCAAAACTATAAACTTTATGAAAAATAATAAAACAGAGAACTAACCATCTTCTTCCTCGCTGAAACGTTAGAAAAAGATAGCGAGGCGGCTTTTACGCTCAGTTGCTGAAGACTCTCTTCTTCCCCAGCTCCTCCATAATTCCCAGAAGACGCATATTCATGTGACCTTTTTCCAGAAGCTGCAAAAAGACATCAAATTTACAAACAAACTAAAAAACAGAGCAAGGCCCAAAAGAACAGCACCAAACAGAGAAGAACAGAGAGGAAGCTAATCAGCTGCATTTGGGTATTGATGTACCTGAGCGAGCCTTTCTGGGCACTGCAACTCCGATCATTTCATGGGCAACCATCAACTGCGGAGCTTGCTCATCGGAATAGCCGACGCTCCCTTCTTCAGTGCTCTCGTGACCTTGATCTCCTCTGACCCTCCTCTGTTTTGTGCTCTGCTCTCTCATACTTCTCTTGTTGCTGGGTCGCTCGCGTAACTTGAGAAATCCATTGCTTGCTGACATGCTTGGCCTTCTTGCTTCTCTACTTCTCTCCATGATGATATATTCTCTCCCCCTTCTCCTTTCTCATCAAATCATAAAACTCAAAAAGATGGGAGACAGAGACTCACTTTTCTCTGTTTTGCTTGGCTGTATTTGTAAATGGATACAGAGAGATACAAATATGCCCCATGCATTGAGAATTGTATATATCATTGTATTTGATATTTCTACAATGCTACCAGAGAGAGAACCTGGATTCGATATCAATGGCCCGTCTTTTGCAATTATTAAGTCGTTGTTATTATTTTTCTGTAATTTTTTTTATAAATATTTTATTATTTAAGACAAGAATAGGAGGAGGTGGTGATGGATGGACGAATTATTTTATTGAGGAAAGATGCAGATCAAAGCAAACATTAGTTTCAAAGATAAAATAAAGAAAAAAAATATATTAAAGTACAATCAGTATCATCATCTGTATACATTCTATAATGGCTGCACACGTTACTTCTTTCTTTAATTTAAATTAAGCTAGTCTTCTTTCTTTAATTAAATAATTAATGAAGAGTACTAAAATTAAAAGCATGCCTCTTTGGCTTTTCAATCCTTTGTATTTTGATTTGATTGAGCATGCAACTCTGGGAAACTAAGCAAAAGGAATCCATCCACTTGCCCAACTCCAGAAAAAGTCATATTTTATTCCCTGTGATTTTCTTTAATGAAAAAAGAACGAAAGACACAGCCTTTGTTTATTCAATAAGATATAGTATTTCTAGGGATATCAACTAATATAAAACAGTTTTTTAGTTGTTCTTATAATGTTTTTTTTATTCCTTAATGCCAAAGTAGGTCGAGTAAGCGCGTAGACTAATCGGATTGCTAATGCATGTGAGTCTCACAATATATCAATAGTTGCAATCATTCATGCGTATGCAACTGACTATAGGTTAGAAACTGTCACTTCATTAGTAACTCTAGTAGTATTGTTGTTTCATAATTGGTTCATAAGATTAAAAGGTTAAACCTACCTAAAAGTGATTTGTTGAACAGGGAGATGGCTTTCTTTTAAATCTAATTGAGATCATTGTACTTTTTTGTTTTTGAGACTATTGTAATTTGACTTCAGCTTACCCTCAATTGCTTTTAAGCATAAACTAATAATATGCTCGTACAACTAAACCAATATTAAAACTGATTTAGTGGGGAAAGAACAATTGTATTTAGTAGGTCAAGACAAGCTGATCCTTCCCAGTGGCACTTTATTAACTAAATGCAATATAAAAATAACAATTAATTAAATAATCAGATCCAAAGTGCGAGTTGTTTGGATCGACAAAAATAATATTTTTTTTAATTTTGTGGATGGAATTGTTATTTGTTATGATAAAATAAAAAATACTTATTTGTTAGTGTGGCAAGCATTTTGATGTTCCACATACTACAAAGGACTTTCGGGAAGGTAATGAGTTAATAATAAGCACCTCGCAGCTTCCAATCAAAAAATAATAAATAAATAAACATCTCATCTCATCTCACAGCTGGTCGTGGAGGTCACCATGGTCAAAGAAAATAATATTTTAGAATTTAATAACAAAAAAAAAATGGAGTTTTTAATTGAGTGAAGAATTCATGGTTGGGTTGGGGGTTAGAAATCTTAGAGGAGGAGGAGGAGACTGAATATAAATATTTAATTAATTTTTTTGAGATGAGATCGAGAACTCGGGACAAATATTCAAAGTTCAAACTCAAATGTTAGGTTTCTGACTTTTGAAAATTTTATACAAATGTTGGGTTTCATCTTTCAAAACAAGCATGCAATTGCAACCCTTTTTAATTTCTTAATCCCATGGAGGAATAATCTATTGCTCCAGCACTTTATATATATTTTTTATATATATATACAAAAACTTCACCTGGGTGTTCTTTTTTAATGATTATATGAAGTGTTGCAAGACATCAAGGGTGCTTGAAAATGTTCCCAATATGATTTTCCTCTTCATGTTTTCTTGATAAATGTTCTTCCCTTTTCCTGGTTGTGAAAACAGAGCATACAGAAAATGATTGTGTGTGTGTGTGTTTTTTTTTTAACCCTCTGGGTTAGTCGGTTGATAACCAAAACTATTGAAAGCAAAGATAAGTATGTTATCTTCTCTTGCATGGGTAAGATCAGCTTTTTCATAAATTGAACTCAAAAGGGTGCAATGCATTGCCAAGGAAAAAGGTGGTGTACAATTATTCCTCATTAAATTTTCATCCTTTGTTGGTTGGAAGTTTCTAAGAAATTGCATGTAGAAATCGAATTTAGAAAAGCACAATGACATGGGACCTATAGCCCTTTTTTGTTTTTCGTTTTATCTTCTCTATATAAATTGGAGGGTAGGGTTAGTGGGCTTCTAGGGTAGTGTGTTTTCAAATCGAAAGATGGGACAAATGACATGTTATGACTTGGATAAGGAAAAGTACTTACCCCCACCTCGTTGCATCCATCATTCTTTCTATCTCTTTCCTTCTTTGATAAGTGACATGAAGAGAGAGATAGAAAGCGAACGTCGCAACGGAGGAGTATGGAAGTTTTTCTTATAGATTAGAGCCCAGTTCAAAGAACGTAAAATAGTGGAACTGAATATAGAAATTTTGACTTTTAACATCTTTAATATAATGATCATTGCCATCCACAGAGAAGTTGTGATATTAATGTGGTGCACGCTTCTAATTTAAAAGCCTTGCATAACATGGCATATTTTTCACGTAACCTTAAAAACGAAATGTCTGGTTATCTCAAAAGGTGCTTTGTAAGGGTGGGGTATAAACAGCACTACAAGTTATCCGCACAAAAAACAGAAGGTTTGTTGGAGATAGAAGCTCAACCATTTACATCAGTGCATGAACAATCACTACACCTTCAGCAATTCCTGAAACACGATTGCAAATTATGTTAAACTTCAATAACGACTTAGGTCAATATGAGAATCAAATGGAGAAACTACCTTTTCTTTTTGTTTGAAGACGGTATCAAGCTTCTTCACATACTCATCTGTCAATTTCTGCATAAAGAAAAAAGGTGAGCGTCGTATTTTACAGGAACTGAACTGTTTTAAATGATAAGCTTAGAAAATGTATCTTCTACTGTAACCTTTGAAATCAAAACCCAACCACTCATGAAACAAGAAATTGGTGCGTGATATGTCCACAAAAGATGGCTAAGAAAACAAATCCGTCACTCGGCTTCTTTATGCAAACCACAATACCTAGTTTAGTTGGCTTAATGATACCGTGGTGCATTGAATGTGGTCCAGCAGCATACTAGATAATCAACTAAACAAAAGATTTAAATTACCTGCAAATCACTAGATAAGTCCTTGACATTATCTTCAGAGAGCTTTTTGTCCTTTTAGAAAAACAAAAAAGTTTATGTCAATAAGGAATCTAAAAGTAAAATGGTACTGGAAAAATAAAAGAAACAAAGGGGGGGCCCAAAGGCAATGCCAGGAAGTGAGAAAGAAAGAGAGGTTGCGGGAGTGCGTTTTAAGATTCAAACCTTCTCAAGTTTGTCGAGAGCTTTTAAAGCATCTCTTCTGATGTTCCTCAATGCCACCTATAACGATTGAGTAATAGGTCTTTCAGAAGAACAAGATCAATCACTTTAAAGTACAAATGTTAATACAGGAAGTTTTAAAATGCATTAATTGCTCCGTGCTTTTACTTCAATATGGTGCCATGATTAGAGCTCACCATGAACAACTGAACTGAAGGACGGGAAAGGGAGCTGGGGTTGGGGGTCAATTATTTAGTATATCAATTTGTGGGATTTGGTTAAGCATGTGTACAACACAGCCAAAACCATGAAACTCTGAAAATATTAATTACTTATAATTCACAAACTAAAGAAGGAGAGTTTTCTCCAACTATCAACCAAAGATACTACTGTACCTTTCCTTCTTCAGTCTGTTTTGCCACTACTTTTGACAATTCCTGCATGGAAAAAAAAAAGAGCACATATTAAAGAACGTGACTGATTATTGTGCATCATCAGAAAACAGAATGTTTCTGTTCTTTTTTCCTATAATGATTTTGTCACCACTGCCAGTACAACGAATCATGGCTTCTATCATGTTGAATATTTTTAGGAATTCCATATAATTACCAAGATTACAGCTAATTCTCAATGTATGAGAAAATTAAAGGAATATGCTTTTCATAAAACAATTACAAAAGCAAGCTATCAAGCCAAATACTAGAAGTCTCAACCTTCAAAAACTGATATAGTAAAGTAGAACTTGCATAGTCAATTAAAAAATATAAGGGTCAAATCATGGAGATATACCAAAGCTCCTAATAATCTCGTCATCTTCAACTATGACATTCCACCACACCCAAAAATGTGCGTGAATGTGTGTGTGTGTGTGTGCGGTGCGTGTGAGAGAGAGAGAGAGAGAGAGAGAGAGAGAGAGAGAGAGAGGTGTCATGAGGTATGATCTCTAGAGTGTAAACCATACAATTTACTGCATCTCAGCGTATGTAGATTGGCCAAAGCAACAGGAAGAACTGAAAATCCCTTAGCTCATTTATATACTAAATCAAAGATTAAAGATGAGAAATACCTTCCTTCTTTCTGCTGTAAGTTGAGGTAGGGTCAATCGAATCACTTCTCCATCATTATTTGGAGTTAAACCAAGATCAGAGCTAACTATGGCCTTCTCTATAGCCTTTAAGCTGAAAAAGAGGATATACCAATTAAAAGAAAGGGGGAAAAAAAAAGTTAACTAATCAAATGATCAATTGATCCCAAATGCATTCCTCCAATAGAAATAACTAGCTCTTAACAGTTCAAAAAATCCATGTTTCTTTTTGGTATCAGAGAGAAGGCAGTAAAGAATCACTGGAAAAATCACCAGATTCTATAATTTTACCATGTACTTCGTCTACTTATTGTGCATAGATACAGAGAAAGTCTTAAACGAGCTCCTATCAGAGAAAACGGTAGCCCGCTAGCTAGTTTTCAGCTGGGTTTTATGTCAGTCAATAATGTGCCTCTCCTCCTCTGATTTTGGAAAAAATTTAGTAGTGACCATTCCAAAGCAGACAAGTGTCTATTGCATGACTGGGAATGCAGCATAGCGCACTGGTCTTCAATGAATCTTACTAGTATCGTGTCTTTAGTTTATGAAATACCTGGATTTATCATATGGCTGAACCAAGAAGGAACTTGCATCAGGAGAACTAATTTGAGCAATGGTTTTCAAGCCAACCGGGCTTCCATAGTATTCAACCTAGAAAAGTATTGTATTATAACTATTCTTAGAGCAAAAATAACAGTACCAAGTCTTCAATCCATACAAAAATGAATTACAAAAGTAGCTAGACAAACCCTAAATTAAGTCATACCTCAATCTTGTCCAGCATGGCTGGGCTTGCCCTCCCTGTCCTAATAGAGTTGAAATTGGACCGTACCAGTTCGATAGTCTTTTCCATCCTTCCTTTCTGAAATATAACTAACATTCTCAATACAAGTTGTTTCTTCCTGACTCCATGAAAAATCCAAAGAGCCTAAAATCCCCCCAACCCAATCCCACCCTACGTATTTTCATAAAAGAAGCCATAGACAAACTTACAGCATCTTTTTTTATCAAAGACTTCTCTGCTTCTATTTCTTCAATAGTGGCCGCCCTTACAGTTCCAGCTCTGGATATTTCAACCGAAAGGAAATAAGAAAGAGAAGAAAAAAAATTTGATTGGAAGGCAAATATATACCTACTACACAACCACTAACTCAAAGCAATTACATTAACCATAGTGGTAGCACCACACAGCCCAAATCTCCATTGCATTCACAAATTGCAAGGATAACATCAATGACTATGGAGAGTCAGAGAATAGATTCATTTTGAGTGTATTGTTGTTAAATGTTAAGCCAACAATTGCATTCATATCCCAACTTTTAGTCCCATGCTGACAACAGAAACCAGAGTATAATTCTGTGGCACAAATAAAACTTGCCTCTTTTGCAAAAATTGCTTCTTGACAACAATGGGATTACCAGAAAACTTCATGGAGCCATCCTGAGATCCTACATAACTAACAGCTGAGCTCCATGAGCATACATTAACCGTTATGGGCTGGCATTTCTTACAAACCGGTCCTCCGCCAAAGGGGTCTGCAAAAATGTCAACTTTTAGAGCATTTAGCATGCGAAACAAAAATGCCCATCAAACATAAACGAAGTTACAAACTCAGCCCACTAACACTAAGCTATGCAGTTTTCCTACTGAACTCCAAAAGGGCCCCTTTGAAATTGAATCATTGGCCTTTATATTTGGAAAGCAAGTCATAAAGCTCATCAATTACCACTAATTAGAATGCAATGAATCCATAAAATGGTTGATGGGTTATGTACCTCGAACGGAGAGGAGGGTTTTGGGAGGGTTTTGCGTGGGTTGGAGGAAGAAGCGTACAGGGGTTGCAGGAGAGAAGTGGGTCGCCATGAAAGCCGAAGACTGGTATTCTGAGCGAAACTGTTGGGGGCTGCGATATTTTTATGTAAGAAATATAATAACCCACTAAAGTAGTGACTCTGGTAGAGGGCAGAGTAGGCAGGCAATGGGTCTTCAGCCTGTCAACGGGATGACAACGAACACTGAGGAGGGAGAGTGTTCGCTATTTTCAGGGGCTGTGGATAAGCATTTTCCTTTGCTTATTTTATTTTAGGACTCGTTTGTTTTCTTGGATGAGAATGTCATAATCAAACACTGGATAGAGATATCCTCCACTGGTTCCAGAGTAGACTATAACTAGAGGAAGTGCGTTTGCACATCGAGGCCCACAATAATTTGACTGGTTAAAGAGGGAGGACTTTGAAGATGGGCCAGAGTTCTATGTGAAGGTAGATTGGGCTGGGCTGGGGTAGGCTTGATATTTCTGCAACCTCAAAATGGGCTTTAAAATTGTCAGAAATTTCTAAATGAACTCGTTTTCGACCCATTTATATTTTTCTTATTACGTTGAGATTCGAACTTGGTATTTTTGGTTTTTTGATGGTAGATGCTTCTATAAAATAGAAGCACCCTAAAAGAGAACAAAAGATAACTAAACCATATGAAACAAGAGCGTAATCTTTAATAAAGATTTGCGGTCTAAATCAAACATAGGAAAACAAAAGAAAAAAGAGGAAGGACTTAAAAGTGAAACATTCAAAATCCTACAAATTGTCCATGATTAAATAAGGTGATAAAATACAACAAATTAATATAATTAGAGAAAAATGATAAAACAATTATATATAAAAAAAAAATTAAAATACAAAACCCACCTTCAGAATGCGGCAGTTACCCCACTAATCCCACTCCTCCACCCCTTTTCGTTTTTTTTTTAATTCCATTTGTTTTAATAATTAATGCTAATAAATAATACACATAACAATTAAACATATATATTAAACTTCTTTTAAACTTGGCAAATAGTAAATGATACGAACATAGAAAGAATCATAAAGGCCGCTTATGTCAAGCCACATTTATTGCCTTTTTTTAATACAAATTATTCTTAAGAATCAAGATACTGTGGATTTGGTGAAGAAGAAGAATGCTATAAAAAATCTCAGAATGAAGATACTCTGGATTTAATGGACGCGCCAGATCAACCCATCAAAAGATTGCCTTCGTAATTAAAAAAATAATAATTACCATCTTTGGATTTAATTTCCTGAATTTGCACGTCGCGCTAGCACTATATATATACACGTTCACTTGCAACGTTTTCTTCACGAGTGCCTTCAAGTTCAACAACCATACATATCTACTATTTTATTCATCTCTCTTCTAAAAAAAGCTGTGTGACTTTCTTAGGTTGGTGGTCAGCCATGGCTTTGGCTAAGAATTCAGTGCTTGTTTTCATGGTTATGGCTTTGTTTGGGGTCTGTTTTGGGACTGTGTACAAGGTGGGTGACTCGAACGGCTGGACAGACAAAGGCAGTGTTAGTTACAAGGATTGGGCATCTACTAAGACCTTTGTTGTTGGAGACACTATCGGTAAGTGTTTTCCACCTTATTCTTTTTATGTTATATGGATTTAGCATGCTTTACAATTGACAACTTCTAATAAAAAGTAGGGTTCTTTATACCTTCTTACATATATTGTGTGGATTCAAGCACGCTTTCTTTGTTTTATTGAAAAGATATCGTGAATTCAAATTGTATAGACACTAGTTGATGAATTTAACTGTGTGAAATAGACCCGAAAAACCCTTTTTATATATAGATAGATGCATAAGTTTGGTACTATGATGATGTTTCTGCATACTAGCTAGTTGCTTTAACCCAAATCAATATCAAGCAAACTACCATTTGTGTTCCTTTCTGTTTTAACATGTAATATTGCACTTGCAGTTTTTGGGTACAATGCCAAGGAGCAAAATGTGGTGCAAGTGAAAACCCTTACAGAATTCAACGGCTGCAACTCAAAAGCTCCGTTATCAGCCTATAACTCTGGCAACGACGCCGTAGCGTTGAAGAAGGCTGGCCATTTCTTTTACATCTGTGGTCTTCCTGGGCACTGCGAGGCTGGCCAGAAAGTTGACATTAGGGTTCTTGAACCTAGCCAGGCACCTGGCCCAAGCCACTCGAGCCCTAGCCCTAGCCCTGCACCCAACTCAAACCATTCTCAACACAATGAATCGTCCGCCCCGGTTCCATCTCCAAGTGCAAAGGCTCCTACCTCACCTAACAAGAGCAGTGCTCCATCTGTCAAGTCTCCTAGTGGCTTGTTTATGCTTGTTGTGATGGGGGTTCTTGCTTACCTTGCTTAATTAATTGGTGTTTAATTAGGAAGATTGCTTATTTTATTAGTTTGTTTTTGTGTTTATGTCAGGAACCTCCTGTTTTCTTTGCTGTACAATCTTTTATAAGTGCAGCTTTTGAAATGAATAGCTAAAATTACTCATAAAACAATAAATTTTGTGCCTTCAATTTCCATGATAGTCACTTGATAAAAGTCATTCCCATTGTCTTCAAAGAGATCTTCTTCTTTTTCCCTTCGAAAAAAAAAACAAACAAAGGCGGACCAAAAAGACATCCCAAAGAGAGTTGAGAAACTCAATTACCTCGCCAATGTGATTGTTAGTACCAAGCATGATTTTGTATCATGCTAAATATTTTTAAGAATTCAGTATAATTTGAACAAAGAATGCAGAAAATTCTCAATGTATGAGCAAATCAATTTATGATATCTTCGAGGTATAAAACAAAGTTGCCTATACAAAAATAACATTGCAGAATTTACTCATCTCAACGGCATCCGTATTTGTTCTGGCTAATATAGTTTCTTCACGTTCACTTACCAAGAATATGTAGAGAATGAACTGGATTAATTTGGATAAACTAATCCCCTAATTAATCTACTTCATGTGAATTTTGAAGTAGTTGGATATGAAAGCCACATAATTTGTTATTTGGTTCGTGTTAGTAAACGTATGGAAAACTAGCAAACGGATTTTATTTTATTTTATTTGTGAATTGGGGGGAACTCCAAACAACACAACTACATAAAATCAACACAAATAAGACGGGGACGAGACACCCCAATCAAGTCATCAATAACTAATGAATCTTTCCAACTTGGGGCAAAATCAAAATAACAAACTCCAAGACCCATGTTAGAGTTCTAGTTAGCACCCATCTACGACACAATTCTTTTCTTTGTATTCTATTCCACTTAGCTAATCCGTCTGAAATGGAATAATTTGAATATCCATGTGTTAGTAAATGCAAAGAAAATTATGAATGAGAATAATTTTAATAGCCATTCCAAATCAAAATTGGCACAAAGGGAATAAATTTTAGAGAAAATAATTACTCAATTAATAACTCCGCGTAAAGGAAAAAGGAAAAAACAAATAGTAGAAACATTTACCATAGATCAAGGCAAGTTTACTGTCCACTGAATACGCCGGCTCTTTTTGCCAATTTGAAAAAATAACCCTAGTAATTTTAATTGCAGTCTAGACTCACCCAAATTGGGCAAAACGAGTGAACTTTAATTGCCCTGTGAGCTGTGAATATGATTATCCTCAAAATTAACCAAGATGGTCTTAATTAATTTCCTAAATCTGTGAAAAATATCACCAACGAAATGAATTGATCCTGACGTGCCAATCAACAAAATAAATTAACTAAAGAATGTTCCTCTAATTACCAATTAACTATTACCATCTTCGAGGAAAGAACGTTTTATAATTTAATTTCCTCAATTTGCACCTTGGCATGCATATCACCCCTATAAATATACGCACCATCTTTTGGTTTTTCCTCATCACAATTGCATTCAACAAGCTAATACAATATATCTGAGCTAATTCTCTGTCTCTCTGATCTTGGTGGTTTCGCCATGGCGGCTTTGACTAAGAGTTCAGTGGTTTTCTTCTTCATGGCAATGGCTTTGGTTGGGGTCTGTTTTGGTGCTGTTTACAAGGTCGGCGACTCTCATGGCTGGACCGACCAAGGCCACTTTAATTACAAGACTTGGTCATCTAACAAGCACTTCACTGTTGGAGACACTCTCGGTAAGTCTACGGATATATCATTTGGTGAATAAATTTTGTGAAATGAATTGATGTCTCTAAGGTTTTTTTTTCTCGCTTTTAACACGCATTGCAAATTGCATGTGCAGTTTTTGAGTATGATGCCAAGAAGGAGAATTTGGTACAAGTGGACCATAAGGGTTACAAAGAATGCATGGCAAAAGATCCATTATTTACCTTTGCCTCTGGCAACGACAATGTAAAGATAACCATGCCTGGCGACTTCTTCTACATTTCTAGTCTCCATGATCACTGCAAGGCCGGCCAGAAGCTTCACATCCAAGTTCACGCATCAAGTTCGACCCCGTCCCCGTCCCCGTCTCAGACTCCATCTTTCTCGAGCCCGGTCCACTTGAGCCCGTCTCCTACCCCGGTCGCCTCAACCCACGTAATTTCAACCCCAAGTGCTTCACCAAGCCTGAGCCCAAATGGTTATCCAATGCCCAGCCCAAGTGGTTCACCAAGCTACAACCCAAATAGATCTCCAAGTGCTATTACTAGGCCACCTCCAAACCCTAGCCCAAACGTGGGGCCCAATCCTCCAACTGTGAGGCCCAATCCCCCAACGGTGAGGCCCAATCCTCCCCCTTCGGTACCAATAGTGGTGTCCAATCCTCCTCCTTCCGTACCAACAGTGGTGTCCAATCCTCCTCCTTCCCCAGGGGGTACCCCACCTAGACGTCGTAAAGCTGTGATTACAAAGAGCCAGGCTTCACCTTCCAATGGGTTACCTATTTTGCAGGTTTTAATGGCTGTGGCGGTCGTTGTCTATATTGCTTAAATTGAAGTTTATGAAGATGCTTTATTTCCATAGGGAGCCGAATTTAATTTTATTAAAATAATTAGCTGTTTTTGGGTTTTTTTTGTTAATATCAGGAACCATATGATTTCTTGGGAATAAATCATTTGTGTAATGTTTCACATATTAATAAATATTTCTGCACTTAATCCTAATAATAGTAAGTTTAAGTTTGTTTATCCTTTGATTTTATATATTTTTATTTATTTATTGGGTTTTCACATTTCACACGCAATGTAAAGGAGCCCATAAAAGTGGTCCTTTCCGAAAGCATATTATCTTCTTTTTTTTAGTATGATAGTCTAAACTAAAACTTTTATATTCTTATGCAATGCATATAACATTTTTTTGTTATTCTCAATCAATAACACAATAACACGTGAGAGGAGAAGGGTTTTCACACACACAACTATGATGTTGTGGAATTTGAATCGGAGAAATAACCTTAGCAAGCAAGCCTTCAAAACATCATCACGTTATGATAAGGACTATCCCCTAAAACTTAAATGAGAAGTGAGTTTTAGGAATTATTAGTTGTTTTTGTGTTTTTTGTTAATATCAGGAACCATATGATTGATTGGGTGTTTAGTACGTAATAAATCATTTGTGTAAGTTCAAGTTTTGTTTTGGGCTTTTACATTACACACGCAATGTAAAGGAGCCCATAAAAGTGGTCCTTTCCGAAAGCATATTTCTCTTTTTTTTTAGTAGTATATGATAGTCTAAATTAGAAGATAAACTTTTATATTATAATCTTATACAACGGAGATATCATTTTTTGCTACATTCGACCAATAACACAATAACACATAGAATGAGGGGGGATTTCACACACACACACACACACCTAACTATGATGTCGTGGAGATTCGAACCAGAGGAACAAACTTAGCAAGCAAACCTTCAAAACATCATCACATTATGATAAGGACTATACTAAAACTTAACTGAGAAGTGAGTTTTAGAATTTTCATGCCCGCAAAACAATGATTAGTTCTTCATTGTTGAGCCGTGGTCCATGACGCATTTTTAAAGTTGAAATCATTTCACTCGTGATGAAAGAAAGATGTGGAGTTTTGGGGCTTTTGGCAGTTGAATTAGAAAACTTACACATGTTCAAGCCAAAAAACAAAAAGATAAATTCTCAAACTTATTATAGTCTAAACTATTTTAATTAAATTACTCAAACTTATTATGAGGGAGGTGATCGAACTTGAATGCAAGGAAACGCGCATATTACCTTAGTTAACTGGTCTAACCACGTTTGTAGAAAACAATCTTTCTTCGAGTGATGTACACGAGGGAAAATCACTTTGATATGCTGGTCCTGTCTTATAAATGAAAGCAAAAGTAGAGATGGGCCTTCAATAGTAAGATATGGTGTTTTCGTATGTGTAGGTGTGATCCTGTCATGGATGCTCTGTGAGATGAGAGACAGACTCTGTATTTGGCAGGGATTGTCAAATGCGTAATTGGGGTTTAATTATGTTAATTAAGATATTGAGCAAGGTGTGATGTCTTAAAACAGATCATGAGATTTGTAGAAACTTTCTGTCGCATCTCATCAGTTAAGATTCAACCAACTAATATAAAGTGTACTGTGTATATAATAAACCTGCAATATAGATTTAATCAAGTGGGCAGCATCCAAAGTTTCTATCTAACATAATTAGCTTCTATTTAACCAAGTCTGCATGTTGATGCTGGGCAATTAATATTTATCTTCCTTGACATTGAATCATTGATCTATAATATGACTGTATCATATGTAGAAGTTGTAAACCATTTCCTCTCCCCAAGCCTCTAATTATTGCGTGGTAATTGGCACCTACCTAAGCTCCTAACCTAGCTACTACCATTTGTCACTGCGACGATGGCTATGGTGTGTAGATGTGGAGGGCCTCTTCTCTGACTTCACTACAGCACCTAGTACCTGCCTTAGCCTATATAGTTAGCCTTGTGGCTAGCCAACCCATCAAGCACTTTTTGTTTCACAAGTAATATTCGAGTCATGCCGGTGATTGTGGACCTAGAGTCACCTACTTACGTATCAAGATATAAGGGATGGAGAGATCGAATGAAAACTCTACAAGTAATAATGTCGGAATTCATCAACAAATTGGAGTCCACCAGATAAATTGAGTAAACTTCAAATATATTAATTGAAAATCAGATGAATAAATTGACAAATACAACGCCATGAGTTGGCTTAAATAGACAACAACAAAAACTCTAAAACCGTATGAAACATTAGGTTCTAGAATATTCATAAACTTAGCTAACAAGAAAATAATAAAAATCATAGCTAAAATCATATTAGGAAAATAATATCCTAATAGATAACTTATTCTTCAAAATATAAAATAAAACATTAAATTAAATACAAATCTTGACAGAATCATAATTACTTCAAACTTCCTCAATCAATTAGAAAATCCCAACAATATGCCTTCCTTCTTTTCCTAGCGTCATAATTGACATTTAATTGAAATTTTCATCTCTTGCATGATTTCCTTCCATCTTTGAGCCACTTTATTTTAATTAATTTTTCACACCATAGTTGACCCATATTTATTCCTACATCACCTAAACGCTTATAGACAACTGATTTGCTCACCACTGATGTATATCAATATCTTTATTACCCTACCCCAATGGATGTTTTGTCATCTAGGATCTAACTAGTAAAGTTCAATTTAGTTAATGCACATCAGGTTAGTGACCCTCCTTCCTTCATTATCATTACTTTGCTTGGAGTAATGACAACATCCCGTGATTTGTTTATTATTTGGATCAATTAATTAAGGGCCTCGTAACATAGATTTTGGGCCATTTTGCTGGCAACACCAGTGGGGTTACTTCCATGGTGTTTCACCTTTATTTCCACTCTCCTTCCTCAATTGGTATATAATTTCTAAAAGAATCTAAACCATAATAGATTAATACAAAAAATAAAAACGCATAAATCCTTTTTTAAAAAAAATTGAGAAAAAAAGTGAGAGTAAATACCTATGGTTGACGAGCGGCAGCTAAGCCGGCTAACAAGCCGCCGAGGTTTGCGCTTCCCGTTACCCGAAATTAACACGCGCAATTGCACGTGCAAGGACACACCACACACGATTTTGTAAAAGCTAAAATTAAAAAATAATATTTTGACCCAAAAAAAAAGATAATAAAAATAAAAACAGCAAAAAGCGACAAGAGCAAGGGCTCGCGTATATATAAACCAAGGTCCTTCCCAAATACGCCGTCCCACTCTCACTCCCAGTCCCCCCCACTCCCACTGATTTGTTATAACTCTCAACTACTCAAAACCACTTTGTTTTCGTGAGAGAGAAACAGAAACAGAGCGAGCGCATTCTTTCGCCATTAATGCCTCTCAGCAACAAAGCGTGAAACCTCTCATTCGCTTTTCCACGTTGCTCTTTTTTTTGCAAACATTCAAACAATCAGAACCTCTCTCTCTCTCTCTCTACAAGACTGTAACCATACATATTTTATATTGGCACAGTCGCTAACAGAGAGATGGAGCTAAGTAAGGTCACCTTAGAGATCTTCACGAAGCTTGAGCAGAAATGGCTCTCTCACTGCGAAACCACAAAGAAGACTCGGATTCTCAGCATTGATGGCGGCGGAACCACCGGCATTGTCTCTGGAGCAGCCTTGATCCACCTCGAGGATCAGATCCGCCTCAAGACCGGCGACTCTCACGCTCAAATCACCGATTTCTTCGACCTCATTGCCGGAACGGGTATCGGAGCCGTCCTCGCCGCCATGCTTGTCTCCGACAACGGCTCCGGCCGTCCTCTTTATACCGCTAGAGAAGCTGTGAACTCCATCTCCGGGAAAAACTCCGACTTGTACAAGGTCAGGCTCGCTGGAGTTTTCCGCCGTCGCCGGAGATACTCAGGCAGCAGCATGGACAAGGCGTTGACCGAGTTGTTGACTAGGGAGGACGGCAAGGTCTTGACGCTCAAGGACACGTGTAAGCCTCTCCTGATTCCCTGCTACGACATGAAGAGCTCGGCCCCGTTCGTCTTCTCCCGAGCCGACGCCTCCGAGTCGCCGAGTTTCAACTTCGAGTTGTGGAAAGTCTGCCGCGCCACGTCAGCAACGCCAAGCGTCTTCAAGCCGTTCAGCCTGAGCTCCGAAGACGGAAAGACGTCGTGCTCGGCCGTGGACGGCGGTCTGGTGATGAACAATCCGACGGCGGCGGCTGTGACGCACGTGCTCAACAACAAGCGCGACTTCCCCTCCGTCAACGGTGTCGAGGACTTGCTGGTTTTGTCGTTAGGCAACGGCCCCTTAACCGGAGGTAAACCCCAAAGTAACGGCGAGTCGTCGGTCGTTGACATTGTGCTTGACGGAGTTTCCGAGACCATTGACCAAATGGTGGGGAACGCCTTCTGCTGGAACCGTACGGATTACGTGAGAATTCAGGTATATAAATTTATATACCGATTATTTTTCTTTTGTTTGATTGCAATTTGCAGAGAGAAAAAAAGTAAATATGGTGTTTGTTTTTGTGACGGAGTGATTCTAACGGCGTTTTATTATGTGCTTGCAGGCGTTCGGATTGGGCAGCGAAGGGGTTGTGGGCCCTAGATCGGAGGAGGAAGTGAAGGTGTTGAAGGAGAGAGGGGTGGAGTCGTTACCGTTTGGCGGGAAGCGGTTATTGACGGAGACAAACGGAGATAGAATCGAGGGTTTCGTGCAACGCCTCGTGGCTTGTGGAAGAAGCAGTCTGCCACCTAGTCCCCGCAAGGATTCTTCCGTTAGCCCTCTCTCTAACGGCCATTAGTTAGCGTTGGTCTTTCTTTTTGTAGTTTTTTTTGGAAATTGTAATTTTGTAAACCAAACTCAGGTTTTCACCGTAGCAAAGCTAGCAGCAGCTAAATAATAACCCCACCTGTTCAGTTCCCTTTCGGACACGCAAACCTTGTGCATCTTTAATTATTCAACTAAACGGAGCAATTATGAAT